TCTTTTGAGATTGTGAATCCACCTTAATGTCAATCCATACACATTCATAAGTTAAAAAACTACTAGATTTTGATTATTTTTGTTATTCTTCATCTTTACTTCTTTTTTAGCTTTTATTCATTATCTATCTAAGCCCTCTTCCTATAAAAAGGAATTTTTTATCCTCTTTGATAGCAAGCTATGAATGAGAAACCTTTTGCTTTATGTAAGACAGATATTTAGGATTTGATTCCTCTATCTTCTAGTAAGAGTGTTATTGGTTGTTGTTGGGTGTATAAGATGAAGACTAATTCTGATAGGTTTATTGAGCGATACAAAGCTAGGTTAGTTGCAAAAGTATACTCTCAATAATATGGCATGGATTGTGAGGAGACATCTACCCTTTTTGTAAAAATAACTACTATTCATACTTTTATTGTCGTAACTTTAATTTGTTAATGGCATATCTTACAACTTGATGTTAAAAATGCCTTCTTGAATGGAGATCTTCAAGAAGAAGTTTATATAACGCCTCTTCCTGGTGTTTCACATAACTCTGGGTATGTATATAAGCTCAAGAATGCGTTATATGGTCTCAAACAAGCATCTCATGTTTGGTTTGAGAAATTTTTTGCTGTGATCTTATCTTTTAGATTTGTTCCTAGTAATCATGACTCTGCTCTTTTTATTAAGTGCACGGATGTAGACCGTATCATTTTATTTTATATATTGATGACATGATTATTTCTAGTGATGATATTGATGATATTTCAGTTTTGAAGACAGAGTTGGCTAGACAGTTTGAAATGAAGGATTTGGGTTTTCTTTGATATTTTAAGGGTATTGAGGTAGCTTACTCACCTAGAGGTTACCTTCTTTCTCAGTTAAAATATGATGCAAATATTCTTGAACTGGCTATACTTATTGATAATAAGACTATAAATACTCTCATTGAAGTTAACGCAAGGTATTCTTCTTTTGATGATTTACCTTTGACAAATCCTACTTTATATCGTACTATTGTTAGAAGTTTGGTATTTGACACGACTAAAAGGTTGATGTCTTCTCCCAAGTGCAGGAGTGTCGAAGTAATAAATAACCCGGCAAGACCAGGGTCGAACCACAGGGAGGTTAATTATACAAATTATAAACAACAATTATAAAAAATAATTATAAACAACAACAATAATAATAGAAGCAATAATAATACTAATAATAATAGTAGTAGTAGTAGTAGTAATA